AGGAATAAAGTTAAATTAAATCACGCATGAAATATCCCTACCCAAAAAAAAAATCACGCATGAAATATAAAAAAGTTTTATGTTTTATTGCATTAATTCTGGTTGCATGCAACCAATTGAAACATAGATAAACTATTGAACTATATAAATATTTTGAGATGCTCGATCAGATTCCTAACAACAATGGAGTGTTGGGCATAGACACCAATTTGGTCATAAACATGAGGTGACGTTTTGTACTTGAGTTTTTGGAGATTGTCTCTACAAGTTAAGGGATAACCAAGTGCAATTTTCAGCGATTCGAGGGCTTTATCATAATTACTAGTTACCAAACAGTGTTGGACTTCACGAACTTGTAAACTTGTGATTGATAAGCTTTTGTAGCAGTCATCTAAAACTTTCTTGATTGGTTCGACTTCTCTTATTGCTGCAAGCGTGACGTTGCTACAAAAAAAAAAAAAGGAATAGTTTACCATCATGAGATATAAATCCGCGAATGTATATATATTTTAAATGGTAAGATGTTTGATAATATCATTTATATATTAATAGAGGACACATTAGGTGAAAAATCCTATTTGTCATCTAAAGATGATTTTAAAGAAGTCTTTTCCTAACAAAAATTATTAAAAATTCTTAATGACAAATATATGGAAATAAGAATATGTAGTAACTAATATACAGAATTTCATTTAAGGAATATATAAAATATTTGAAAATATCTTATTTTCTTTTTAATAAATACTAGATATTTTGATCCGAGTCAAACGCGCCATTAGATTATTCAAAACAAAAATTCATGATTATTTTTAATAGATGAGAAAAATTAAAAATAACAAATATAAAATATATTATGTTTGATCAAAATTTAGCTTTATTACATTTACGCACAATACATATAATTTTTGTACGTTTATAAATTTTAGAACACACGTATAAATATTAAATTCCATTAAAAATATATTTAATTATTTAATCTCACGCTTGGCGTACATCAAAATCTAGTATATAAATATGAGATAATCCTCATACCCTGATACTTTAACTGGGATGTCAAATTTGGTAAAAGAAACAAAATGCATGAAGAGAAGCATATTAAAGCTTTAACAAAAAAAAAGCATATTATTATTAAAGAGGACAATCAAAGAAAGAATGAAAGGGATTGAGATATCAAAGAGGTATCTCAACAATTATCTTTCAAAATCATTTAGAAGATACGTTGAAATTTTTTTGTTGATTATTCATTTAAGTCTTTCAACTTACAGAGCAAGTCTTGCGAGTTCAGATTCAAGGCAGTATGCATTGATGCTAGCAAATCCAGCTAGGTCAGATTGATAGGAGGATCGGTCGGATTCAAGACATTTGAGGCATACCACTTGGTACTCTGTTTTGCTACACTCTTTCTTCATCAAATATTCGTCTGCTCCAATCGTTACCACAAGAAGTGATAATACCATAAGTTTCATCATCATGGCATTAGTCATTTTCTCTCCTTTGATAATAGATTTCTTATGTTTTGGTGCTTTCTAGTGGTGATGTTTTGATTTACAGGTGGATATTGCTTATTTAAAATCTAGAGATTTGATTGGGTTATGGTAAGTTGATAAGGATAAAACCATAAAAGTGATTAGGAAGAACTTTTATCAACTCTCGTAGTTTCATTGACTGATACAGAATTAAAACTACTTTCCTAAATTATCATATTGACAAATCTTTATGCTACTTCCATAAATTGTTAGTTTAATTGACTTATATAGAGATTAAATTCAATCTAGTTTCATAAATTAAGAGGAAAAATTATTGTCAACTACAACACATGGATTATGAAATAATACATGATTACACATCCCAGCTAAAAGATATAGTTTTATCCACAACAACAATTATATAGAGCCGGTTCTGAACCCACGCAAGACAAGTCTGAGTTTGTTGTCTAGTGGTTAACTCTTTCTCTCAATACTCCTCACTGCTTGTGTCATTTTTCTTCTTTTTTTTTGGTTTTTTAAAATCTGCACTCTTTTATAAATCTTATTTTTTTTTTCTTGTGGCCTTTATAATTTCAGAGCCGGCTCTACAAAAATATTTAATGCATGGTTGAAAATATGTTGTAAACTACTTTTTGATCATTTTTGGATAAAATCCATTATTTGGGATTAAAAAATTGAATAAAAAATAATAATAAACCCCAAACTAGGATTTGGACTTGACCCAACTCGACTCATACCCAATTTAACCAATTTGAAGCTTGACCAAGAGAATAGTTTAACCGATCCAAAAGATTTAACGTGACCCATTGATGAACAAATCCGAGAACTCATTATTGGGATTTAAGATTCTTCTCAACTCTTGATAATTTCTCATCACCTCCTGTCTACGACGGAAAAGATGAACTCAATACTTTTGTTGTATTAAACCAATTTTCTTTTCGTACATTAGGATTAAAGTAAGATACATCAAAATCAAATATCAAACAAATTTGTTCAAAAAATACCAAACAAAAATAAAAATTTTAAAAGAACTCAAATCAGTTTCTAGATTTTTTTTTAAGTCCCCTCTATGTCGGCTAGGTTTCATGGCGATTTATAACTATTTATAAATATTAATTTTTGAATTCAATTTCGAGGATTCGTGTAAATACTAAATTAAATCTAGGTTTTATGGTTTCGAATATATCTGGATATTCTTGCAGCGGAAAAATAGAAAAAATCGATTCGAGGTTGCTTAGCACTCCAAGTGTCGTGCCTCTACTGGTATCCACACGCACACAAACTGGATCGGGACAGAATGCTAGTTCCAGTGAGATCTGATCTCAAACACTAGACAAACACTTTTGTCTCTCTTGGGTTTCTTAGTTACTTGTGTGAAAAGAAACAAATTTCTTCTCCACTCCTTTGAACAAGAACACGTTCTCTTTGTCTCTCGTGAACAATCAAACTTTTGTTCTCTTTTCTTCTGTGTGTCACGAGAGCAATAC